ATGGGTCAGCTGTTAGTTTCAGTGATTCTTAATCTATTATTTATTTCTCTACATCTCATATTGCTTACCAGTTACCACCACCAAATTTTACTAATAATGGAACTGTCTTAACATATTTACAGTGAACTTACCCATACTGCATTATCAGCTTGCGTACTTTTAGTTATGTCCAACGTTACTGATAATGATTTAGTAGATCATCAGTCAAAATAAAGTGATTGCATATTTTTTTTGGGCTATTGAATTAGAGGCACGAAGCTTACCCATTACAAGATGAGCTTACCCTTGCCTTGGGCTGGATATGGCTTGACATGTAGGATTGCTTTGAGTTGGAGCTGGTACTGGTTGCTTTAGGCTTTTAGTGCTAAGTAATTCCAAAGCCACCATGGCTGTTATGCTACTTGTAACCTTGATTTCTGTGTTTGTGGTTATATTTTATGATGATTGGTACTTGGTACGTCTTTTTCACTAATTCAGTCCTACAAACACTATTATCTATCTGAAAGATGTATTAGACAACTTCAGGTGGTGACTAATCTGACATTTCCAGTGCAGAGCGAAACAGATTACAGATATACTTGGCACATGCATTCATAGATTAGTCAAGTTCTAATCTGACATTTTCAGCCAATCCAATTCTTTTTTTCCTTGGTCAGCATAAATAATGTCTCAGATTCATTAGTGTTTTTTCCTTGTTCAGAGCAGTATGGGCAAGGGAAAAACAGAGTATTGTCACCAGAAACCTTTGGGTGATAATCTGATGCAAAAGTTGATAGGCATGGAACTAGATTAATTGCAGAGATGATAACTTTAGTCTTGCTGAAGTATGCCGCATAAGTCAGAAAACAACCAGATAGCAGTGGACATCGCCTTTCTGCATTTTAGCAAAATTTTGATCGTTTATTCAGTAGCTTGCAGTAGTTGATTTCATTAGAACAATATTCTCTTTGAGAAAATGCAGAAGATGTAGGAAGTAGGGGCAGCTGTTCTTTTTTTTAGTTTCCTGTTAGAGTTGACTGAAAGAAGCTAGAAGATTCAGGGAGAGGTGGTCTATGTGTTTCATTTTTATTTATGCCGTATATCAGATGGAACCCTTTAATATTCTTTAGTCCTCTGTTTGAATGATGCACTAAGAAACATGTACATATGTTTGAAATCTTCACTTGGTCTATATGTATGAATGAGCGAACTGTACGTATGTTACTTGATTCAAATTGGTCACCCACGTCCTATAAAATACATGTGCCAATATACAGCAAACTTTTTCGAGAATTGTCAGAAATCTTGGTCTTTCTAAATACTCTATAACCACGTCACAAAAGTACGTTCGAGCAATTCATGGAAACGCTGCAAAACAACCACTCCTGAGATCCCGTTTTCACATTTTCCAGGGAGACATGGGCCGACATAGGCCGAGCATCCTTGCGTTTGGTCCAACGCATCCAACGCACGGTTTCCTTCACGATTTCTGCGGAATTTCAACCGCCGCCGCCACCGGGATTTCGTCCCAATCTCTTATTTATTTCCTTCCGGAGCTCTAGCACTGCCGCTATAGATCGGTGCCTTCTCCAAACCTAGCCACCAGCGGCACCATCATCATTCTGCTGCGCACCAAGCGGCATGGTGCTGACACGGAGCATGGCGGCGAGGCGTAAGCCGCTGGCTCTCCCGCACGACATGCTGGTCGAGATCGCCGGGCACATCGCCGCGACGTCGCCGCACCCGATGAAGGACATCTGCAGCCTACGAGCCACGTACGTCACAATCAGAATTTTAGATTTCTCTTAGTGACATGGGCTTCTCCTAGTGTTTTGGCATTCAAAATTTAGTACAACTTTTTCTATTAAATGTCTTCTAATAAAATTCTCATGTACTATGATTAATGATATACTTAACAACGCTAGGAGAATTCCACTATTTTAGCAGTGCGTGCTTGTCCGCAGTACAGCCACCGCGTTCAGATTGCTGATGTACCGTGCATGCGTATCTTGCAGTTGCCAGGACATGCGCAGGGCATGCAAGGAGGGCGCCGTCGGGAGGCGCATGGAGCTGGAGCGGGAGGAATCCATAAGGTGGTTACACAACAACAGCTACCTCGCGCTCGTCGACAACCTGGCCGCCACCGGCAACCCGGAGGCCTGCTTCGTCCTCGGGCTCACGCTCGTCTTCGCGAAGCGGTGCCTGCAGCTCGGCACCCAGTGCCTTACACGGGCGGCAGCCGCCGGGCACAAGGTGGTGGCTTACGTGCTCGGTGTCCTCCACTACAGCTACAGGGAGAAGCAGGAGGCCAAGCGGTACATTAGGCAGGTCGAGGGCGAGGGCGGCGTCGCCCACGGGTGCAAGCAGACCAGCGACATGACCAACCGGGAGTGCATGAGGTGTTGCGCGCACGCCGTCCAGGCGGTCGGTGACGTGACATGGAATGTGGCCGGAACGATGGGCCTGGTGCCGGTGTCAGTGCCGTCGGCGGAGGACGGACAAGGTTGCAAGGGCAGTGGCTGCGGTGTGCCGGAAGGATGGGCCGATGGCTGCGCCGTCTTTTGTAGCGAAGGCTGTAGGATTAGGCACGAGTACTCCAAGTTCTTTTCGCATGTCTCGTTACTCGTTACTTAATAAGAAGCAGGATCTAATCTCTAATCCCCTGAGGTTTGGCACAAGTTCATGCAGTGGCTCAAGAATCTGTGTTTTGTTATTTTCTGTAATGCTCTTTTGGAATTGGCGGCTGTGCGCGCCTCTTCAATCCCCTCCAATCCTCCTCAATCCCCATGGTTTAGGGATGAAACAAACAAGGCCTTATTGGTTTGGTAATTGGCTGGACAAATGAAATTTTTGAGAAATTGCTATTTTAGATCACCTGATTCGCTGATCTCTTGTGATTTTGTTTCTGTCAAGCATGGTCTGTTTGTCTATATTGCTGATCTGTAGTAAGAGTGTCCTACGTACTACACTTTTAGTTACGACAATCGCACAAAAAATTCATTTGAGACTAAACCTTGACATTCATTATATTGATGTTGCTATAAACATAGAGCCTTGAAAATTAAATTAACAGGATTGAAAATATAGTGTTCCTCATTTATGAACTTTATCTAATTAATGAACTTTATCTTCCACAGTTACCACCATGCCCACTCATTCAAGAACTATTGATCCAGGAGCTCAAAGAGAATGGCGAAGCCATGGCTAGGCAGACCGAGGACCTCCAAAAGAAGGTGGTCGCCATGTCTAGGCAGATCGCGGACCTCAAAAAGGAGGTCGATGCCAACATTGCCAAGATTTAGAAGCCTTAGAAGCCATGCCTAGTTTTAAATTAAATCAATTTATTGAACTTCTTGATGAGTCTTTTGTATGGTGGTGGTGCTGCTGCTGCTGCTGTGTTTCTGTGCACATGTATGGGTCACTAATGCTGTTGTGCTGCTGCTGCTCCATCTCGGTTGCTGCTGCTGTTCACTATCCAATCACTGTATGAATTTACACAGCACCCCAACATATATGTTGCAAGCACTCCAACACAGATGAGAGAAGAAATGTGTCGCCAACAAAGTTAATTAATCGACTATACAATGCTGCTTTGCAATTATATCAAACCTGCGGAGGCAACTGATAAGCTTAGCCTCACCTACAGTCAGTTATAGCTTAAAGCAAGCCAATGAAAGCCTACCAAAAAGGGAATAGTTGCCGACAACTCATGGTCTGTCCACTGTCAGAAAAGGCTAACAAGCAAGTTAACTCTTGCCATTATAGCATCTGTGCACTGCTTTGTTATATTTTGAGTAGCGTGGCAACTAGCATGTTGAAGCTGAATATAGCCAGCTCTTGATGCCATAGCTTCACCAAAGAAAGGTGATCACAATTTACTAGCGAGAGATACCCACCCTCCTTTATTACATTGCTGCTCATGGAAGGAACCTTCTGTGTTACTCTTTGCCATCTCTGTCCTAACTCCTGAGAGGCCTACATGATGTAGTTGTGCTTTGTGAAAGAACTCTGGGGATTAAGAAATGTGCCTTCAGAGTTCAGACTGTTCCCCTGCATTGTCACCATTTCTTTCAGTCCAGAGCATCCATATCTCGAGAACCCAGTTACCCAACATTACAATAAAGCCAAACGGCACTTCACCACAAGCATCATGAACAATCGCAATAACACACAGCATGGAGATAATAGGATTTAGGTAAGGCCAGTCTCAATTGGGGTTTTATTTCCCAGCTTTTTAAGACTGGCAGTTTCATTGCACGGTTTCATAGGCAATCTGTAGCATTTAATTTCCACATGTGTTATGATCAAATGTAACTAAATTGAACATGGCTGCACTTGGTGTTGTGTGTGTATATATATATATTCACGACTCCATGTATAAATTCACACAAGAATGGACAGATTTCACACTGGAAGAATTCAGACTATTGTGTTACTTTCATACTGGTGTCACATGCCTTTTCATTTCAGATAACATTCAGGGATAGGAGCACATTTAGGCAAATGCAGAAAACATTCTCATAGATTTTCATTCAGATAACATTCAAGCCAATGCAGATAGCATTCAGATAGATTTTCATTTCAGAAAAAAAATCAGATAGCCTCTCTCTCAGTTCACTACTTAATCATGACAATGATGATTTTCTCCAACTTCGCATCCTGACTTGACTTGGTTACTCTACCAATTTACTGGCTTTATAGGCATCAGTCCAACAACAGCATCCATCACTGAAATAGCAGTTAACCATATGAGCTACAGAGCTAAGCATGTTTTAATATTGACAGGGGAAAAACAGATAGTCTCAGATTCGAAATATGAGCAACAGAGCTGAGCATATGACCTACAGAGCAGCAGCAACCATCACTAAAATAGCAGATAACAGTGATGCACATACAATAGTCTCAGGTTGACACATGACCAATGATTAACAATTTTTAGATAAGGGCCATAACTAGGATTAATTACAGATAACAGAGATTAACTAAAGATGACTCATGACCAATAAATGCTTTGTCTCACCTTATGCTTCTTGCGGGTTCCCAAACAGCTTCTTGTCCATCAAAGCCAATGCTTTGTCTCGACCATCCTTTGCTTCTTGAGTCATCTGAAAACTAGTACAGAATATATGCAGCAACTTGCCATCCACCTTGTGGAAGCTCTGAAAATTAGAAGTACACACAAGCATCAGGTTACTGCTGCCCTGATGCTAGCCACAATTGAGAATTAGATAGGACCAGGAACAACATCAGATATTGCCTTGCTTACAGCGACTATTTGCCTTGGTTAGGCCCAACCGGCAAATCAAAAGGGAAATACATACTGTAACTGAAAATTGTCAAGAAAACAGAAAAGCAGCACATGGTCTGATAAAGAGGAAGCAAGGTGGATGGCAAGTTGTTGCAGAGGAAGAGGAGAGCAGTAGGTGTGTACCATCTGGTCATTGGTGAGGAGCGGCACATTGGGGACGGGGATGAAGCCGGGATGCGCGTCCCCGCCGTGGCCGTAGCTCATCTGCGCCCTGAGCAGTGGCGGACCCAGCCGAAAATATGAGCTAGGGCGGATCGCTACGTACAGATAGAAAACTTGACCGATATACCAGTCTAACTATGTATGTATACCCTATCTATATTATAATCCAATTACTATACCCCTCTTTACTGAATGCATCATGACCAAAATGTGTTTCTAAGGGGTTTTGCTTAAAAAGAAAGCAATAGAAGAAAAATGTTGCATCCTTAGCCACACTATATTCCAACCAATCATACTGTTCTAACCAATCACTTGCGGAATTGTACTAGGAAAAAAGCTTTCACTAGTTAGAGATCAATCTTTATCTATTTATTTGACTAATAATTTGCAATGGATAATGGATTAAGGGCAGCACCTATTTTCTTATACCGCTTCTGGCTCAATGGAGTTGGAGTTGCCGACTTCCTCGCCGTGCTAGACGCATCGCTGGCTCTAGCTTCATCTCTTCCCCCAATCGCTTCATCTCCTCTCCCATCCATCTTCTACTGCCTGTTGGGTGATGGCGTCCTCGCTCCTCGGCCGCCCGGCACAGCCGCGCGCAGGGCCGCCCGCCGCCGCTCGCTAGCCGCCGACGTAGGGGGCTAGGGGCTAGGGATGAGGAGCCGGAGAGGGGAGCCAAGGAGCATGGCCTGCCGGCCTGGAGTAGTGGAGCGCCGCCGCGAGTTGGATTGGAGCGCCGTCGCCGAGCTCCTGAGCTGCTATGCGAGCGATTGAGCGAATGTGCGTGCGCCCCTAGTCCCTCCAACTTGCCTTGCGCCGCCGTCCTACAGGTCGAACTCACCCTCCAGGTCATCGACGCCGTCCTCCTCCTCGTCGCCCGCCACACGTGAGCAGCCCTCGCGGCGCTCGTACTCATAGCAGGCGTGGCGGTTGGTGGTGGGCACCGGCTTGCCGAGCCCGTCCTCCAGCTTTGCCACCACGGACCACCGCGTCCGTGCGCACCTTGCCACCCTCACCCCCGGGGCAGCGGGGACGACCGCCGCCGTCGCGACCGGGAGCGTAGTCGTCGCCGCGGCCTCCACGTGCTCGATTGGGGAGCTGAGGGCTGGTGAGAAGGGGTCGGACCCGAATCTCGACAGAGACGATGTAGGAGCGGCGCAGCGCGTCGAGGACCTCCTGTGGATGGATCAACGGCGGTAGACGACGGCGGCACAGAGACGGAGAATACAGAGACGGCGGCGAATGAACCCTAACAAGACGAAAATATTCATCTTTTTTAAAAGCAAATATTCATCTAACTATAGTACTTAAATCATACATCCCAACTATACTACTCAAAACATTATTTTTACAATTGTGGATTTACCGTTTTACCCTTGATTAAAAAAATTAACTACAAAAAAGGAATTGCCACTCTTTTATTTGATGTCCTAATCCTCAGGCGTTGGGAGGCGTTACGGCGCATATGGGCCCACCGACCATAGACACATCTAACGCCTCCCTCATTGACGCCTCTCAACGCCTTCCCTCGTATGGGCCCACCAATCATAGACACATCTAACGCTTCCTGACGCCTCCCCAACCATAGTAAAAAAGTTCTAAGAACAAAATGCCTGGAAATCGATGGTGCAAGCTAGGGTTGGGTTTATGAGATGTATATTGCTATAACAAGTTAAGAAGATTTGCATCCGAAGTTTACCTAATTTGCATTAATATCAGGACTTGAGGAGACTAAAAAATGCATGAATTGATCAAGGATGACAAGTAACTGAATTCGCAAAACCAATGTTACATGACAGGGGAACAGAGCATAAGTGCATTGAATTCCAGTTTCTGAATTCTCAGTACTCCTATAAGGGCAACACAGACCAGAGACCAGAAAATACCATGCACATGTGCGCATGTCAGACATAATAAGAACAAAATTTTTACTCTCCAGTCGGATTACATGTTTGACTCCTCAAGAAGCGAGATGTGCACTTATTTTGATACTGAGAGAGTACATCTGAATGACTGCAGTAACTTGCAGGATCTCCTACTGAAGTATTGTTCAATGTTCATGACAAGAAATCAACAGGGAGCCATCTAATATGAGAATGAACAAGTAATCCTAACCAATATCTTGTAAGATGATACTGCTTTCTTTCATTATCAACTACAAGATGCAAAATTCCAGATTCTCAAAATCTCCAGAAATGGAGGGTACATAATTCTTCTGTGGAAAACATGGCAGAGATTTTTAACCACAAACCATCAGACAATTGGTGTAACCATTTACTCGGGCAGTCTGGCCTTCCAGGTTATTTAAAACGTGTAACTAGTATTTTCATATTTCTTCAAGGGCGCATGCTCTTTGATCTATAGATAAACTGTGTCCTTCGCTGAGTTGAGCATAGCAGTCAGCCAGTCACATTGTTTGGCCAGGACTACATAACAATCAAGGGTGTAAAGCCTAAGTGGGAAAAGAAGTAAGTGTATCCACATAGATCATTCAGCAAATAGGCTTACGTAATGTAAACATCCTCAAGAATATCAGGTGTTGAGTTAAATCTTCAGCTATTCCTCAGATTTGGTTCTACTATCGTGTCGTTGTAAGTAATTTTTTTCTCAAACACGCCTCGTTGTAAGTAAATTGTTACGGTAGAAGAGTGGTGGTAACCTGTAAGGTTTTTTGTTATATGGATATCCTGACAACTTCCCCTGAACTAATTTTATTCAAGAGAGGGAAAAATATATCTCCTGAACTAACTATTCGAAGTAACCTCCTGAACTAACTAATAATCATTTCTCTCAACACCTCCTGAACTATCTACTTCTAACAAAAGCAGGTGCTATAATAAGATGAATTAACAATGTGACTGAAGTACTGAACTTATGAAAAGAGATCCAACATGTTAAGACAATAGCACAATAAGACCTAAGTAGTTTGAAGTTGGTTTCACACACCATGATACATCGATACCAATGAGCAACTTTATGAATAGCTTGTTGGTTGAAGACAAGCTCACCAGAGATAAACTAAATTTGTAATTCCATACACATAGATGTCCTCATTATTGTTGCGATGTCATAGTAATATTCATATAACAAGAAAGAAGCAAAATTAGATCAACCAAGGTCTAGAAAGGAGCATAGCGCATAGACAAACCATCCATAATCCCTTACGGGCAGGATGGGCACTATCTATTTTTATAGCAACACTTAACAAGTGTATTCTATACCCCAATCAACATAAAAAATAACTGGTAATATACTGTGTTTCAATACTCGTTGTTGAACAACATATTGTTTACAGAAACGAAATTAAGAATTAAGAAATAGCACCCTCAGAAATCAAGCATACCATGACTTATTTCAAGTCAGACTCGGATGTTCTTGAGGTGGTTTGGCCATGTCCAAAGGAGACCTCCAGAGGCACCAGTGCATTGTGGAGTCCTAAGTCAAGCTAATAATATAAGGAGAGGTAGAGGAAGACTGAAATTGACATGGGGGAGGCAATAAAAAGAGATTTGAAAGCTTGGGATATACCTAGAGATCTATGTTTGAATAGGAGTACTTGGAAAGCAGCTATTGAAGTGCCTGAACCGTGACTTGGGGCTCTTGGTGGGTTTCAACTCTAGCCTACCCCAACTTGCTTGGGACTGAAAGGCTATGTCTCGTTGTTGTTGTTGTAGACTCGGATGTTCTACATGATTGGAAAGAATTCACAACCAGCATCAACACAGGCTGGGGAAGACCCAGACTGGAGGTCTGATAGGTGAATTGTTGTTCAGGGGTGGTGCACCTGGATAATCAGCATAGCGAACATCGCAAGTTCCATCAGCCAAGGAGTATTCATGCCATTCACCCAAGCGCGGCCCAGCTGCATATAAGCAATCCCCTCGGATTCCTGGGTAATCTGGACCAATACAGGCTGCAAATCCGAAGAAACCAAGAAACAGTGTCCGCCCGCCTAAGCTCGTGATTGAAACCCACTTCCCCACCTCAAACACCCACCGATAAACATGGTACACCATCATCTCCGTGTGATCCTGACTGATGAACAACACATCAGCCCCGCACTCTCCGAGCGTGAACTGTCCTCCCGCCGGCTTGCTTTCGTCATCCACCTCCTCTCCTAGAAACGACAGTTCCAGCAAACTATCAGACAGTTCGACTGTGGCAAGACGGAGGCCATTTACCAGGGCGTAGAGGGTGTCATCGACGAAGAGCATATCGTCAACAACGTGGGGCGCATCAGCGGTGGCCACGCGCCAGAGCGCGTCCCCAGGGTGGCAGTGCTGGACGTTGGGCCTGCCGGGCAGGAAGAGGACGGCGGCTAAGTCGTCGGAGATGATGATGCGGGTGAACGGCGCGGGGACCTTGGGGAGGCGGAGCTGCTCGCCGGAGAAGAGGTGGAGGAGCAGGAGCCCGGGGGGTAGTGGGAGGACGCGGTGGTGGAGGTGACGAGGTACCCGTGCGCGTAGTGGAGGGTGCGGCGGGATGGGGGCAGGTGATGGCCCCAGGGGAGGCGGAAGCGGTGGAGGCGGCGGAGCGAGAGGTGGAATAACGCCTCGGAGAAGGAGGGGAAAATGGCGACGAGGAGGAGCGGGGACTGGCAGGCGAGGGCCCCGCGGGACGGCGGGAGGACGGCGCGGTAGGAGGCGCGCAGGGCGAAGAAGTCCTCGAGGGAAGTCAGGCGGGAGGTGATGTCGGGGATGAGGTCCAGCGGAGGGGAAGGCGAGTGCAATATAGCGGCTTCTGGATTTGAGAAGGACGTCGGCGTGGCGTTGGGCGTGGCAGCCGACGGTGAGTGCCGCCGCCGGCGCTTCTCCGTCGCCATTTCTATCGCCTGTTTTGGTCTTTCCCCTTTTTTCCCCTTTCCGCAGTTCGTTTGAGAAAAAAAAACGTGGTCTATACGAGGCTGATGTTGCTCCTCTTCACGTGTAACAACGGGTTCTATGGATGCTAAAAGACAGATTCCTTATGATCATTCATGGTTGTCATACGTAGGGACGAAAACGGATCGGATACGAACGGATATCATTAATATTATATTTGTTTTCATATTTCTGTCCGGATTCGGATTCGAATACGGATAGTGTCAACCATATCGGATAGGATACGATTGGATATCGACATCATAGATATGCGATTTGAGTATTCGGATACGGATACGGTATCGGATGTTGAATATCCGGACTCGGATACGAACAGATTTGAACCCCTTTAAACGGATTCGATCTCGAATACGGTCGGAAAATATCCGTACCGTTTTCATCCCTAGTCATACGAGAACTAACCAGATGCTGTTACTATAGTATCTTAGTATCTTGTATGATTAGTACAGCAACAATACGTAGTGTAAAGTATGGCTTTTGAATCATCGGAGTGGGCACGTATACCTATTTCTTTTCAAAATTAATTCCTCGTGCTACCATACTTCCCTTGATCATATCATTCTCTAAGAACACAGCATGTCTTATTTCTACAAACGAATCGTTTGTCTGTCAGAACAATAGAAGCGATAACCTTTTGATTCGAAACCAAATGAATCAGGAACTTATCATTGAGCTCCAAATTCATTGGCTCCAGCTTCGAAGCCGTGTTGCTCATCTTCAGTATGTGTTCTCTGATACCTCCACCAATGTATTTCTCACTGAACAATTTCTTGATCAAAGTACTAGCATAAGCCTTTGAAGAGCCAGTGAACTGACTCTTCACATTTTTAAGATACTCTGTGGCGGTATCATAATATGGGATAGACCCTCTTGTCGCATCTAAAATAGTAGACTTAGCCACCATCAAGCATTTGCGGGTTGAAATGTCTCATTTCTTGCGTTTGAGATCATATTTCATCCGCACTTCTGCATGATCTTGCTGCCGAGCAGTGAAATCAGCATCAGTTTCATTTTCTCCCCTCACCGGGTCCACTGGCTCAGTAGGACACGGGGCGATAAGCGCTAGGTCATTTTCAGACAGTGCAAATGCTAGTTCATACTTATCTCACCATACCCTATAGTTGCCCCCTTCAAAAGGCGGTATGTGCGAGATAAAAGTCATTGTGTTGAGTCCTGAAAAACACCGTCAGAGAGAGTGAGAAAATTGACATAATAATTGCATGCCTTAATTTAACGTTGGTCAAAATTAAAACATACAACATACTACTACACTAATTCTACATCACCGTTGGGCAGAAATAGAATTAATGCATGGAAAAACTTATGAATAAACATTATAATATTGTTATTATCAACGTTGGTAAGAAAAATAACAATAGCATAATTTACTGAATAAAATCTAGCTGATGTTCAAATTAAATTCTCCCATTGGTTCGAATTTAATTATAAGATAATAAACTTTAACATTGCAGTGGAAACATGAAAAATTATTTATCTACTTTTCAGAAGTATTTTACTGTACTCATCTACTCTCTGGAAAAATTATCCCGTTGGTTTAAATTTTGACAGAGATTTAATCTAGGCCAAAAATATCAAAATTTGCTTCTGAAAATAGTAAAACAAAAAGTCTACGTTTACCGTTCATTTGGCCCGCCCTGGTGAAACAGTCGCGGCCCATTGATGAAATCGCGCCCGCACTCGTCCCAACGCGCCGCACCGCTTTCCCGCGGCCCAGCAGGCGAAATCAGCCTGCGGCGGCCGCTCGCGCTGCGCTCCCCCGCGTCCCAGGCCGCAACTTGGGCTTGGGCCGGGATTTCCGAATCCCGCCTGGGCCGAAACTAGGTCCAGCGAATCGCAGTCGTTCGTAATTATCCGACGGCCATCCGCGCTCTTCGGTGGAATAAAAAGCCTCGCCGCGGCCGAGCGCCCTAACCCTAATTTCATTCTCTCCTACGCTCTCTCTCTCTCTCTCTCTTCGCCGCAACGCTCAGCGCAGCAGCTCTGATAGCCGCCCACAGCGCCGCCGAAGAAGAGGAGTGTGGAGCAGCGCCGCTGCCAATCCCCTCGCTGGCGCGGCGGGCTCGCCCTAGACCCCTAGGCTGAGCGCGCCACCGTCAAGCGGATTGGGCGACGGTGCCCTAAACCACCACACGCGCTGCGGCGGGCTCGCCCTAAACCCTAGATCTGTCCGGCGTCGCCACGGGTCCCCTCGCGCGTCGAGCGGTCCTATGACGGCATCCCTAGTGATGGCGTTGTGAGGGCTCCAAATGTTGCAGGCCTTACCGATGAAGTGGCCAGGACCGAGCAGGGCACACGCATCGGTGGAGCGGACATCAATGCTGGACATGCAATCACCTGGTGCTTCTCCTTCACCATGGCTGGTGCAAATGTGACCAGAGGAGTAATCACAGGTAGGGATGCCGCTGATGGTGGAGGCGGTGGCGACGTTGTCAGTGGGGCGACAGCCATCGAGGGAGGCAGTGGGGAAGTTGTCGGTGGAGGTGAAGCTGTTGGTATTGGTGATGCTGCCAGCGGGGAAGATGTGATGGCTGCTGGTATAGCAGACTGGGTCGTCGCTGGCGGGGAAGAAGGCGGTGATGCCGTTGTGCCTAAGGACGGGGACGACTGGATTGGAGGAGATGGTGACGAGTCCCGAGCCTTCATCCGATCGCTAAGTTGGAGGACCGTCTTATAGATCCAATCGATCCCTGCAGAGATGCGATCACACCTCGCAGAGATGCCCTCAGAGATGGTGAGGAGATCGTCCATGGCTGGAAATGGTGGATGAGCAGATGTGATCTGAGGGTGGGAATTTGCGGCGGCGGAAGCAGATGTGGTCGCTAGATCAAAGGCTCCGATACCAGATGATAGGAACAGAGAATTGGGCACTTGATTGATGAACTGGAGGGGAAATTACAGTAGCTGATCCTAGCAATGGCAGCAGCAGAAGAGCTCGTTCATCCTTCCTGGGAGGCTCTGAACGTGACAACTCTTCTTCTGCTTGATCCTAATCCCCAGCCGCACATGTGGTTATAACACCCACTGACCCACATGAGCGGTCGTGGTATTCCTATTATTCCTGCATGTTCTATTATTAACTAGCTAGGACTAATTCTAGCCACTAGAGGTAGTCGACCATTTCTTCTTCTTCTTCCTATTATACTGCTGCCCAATGAAGGAGTCCACAACAGGTTCCAATTATTATTGAGGTTCCAAGAGTGTCTCATCAGCTGTATTGGCAATCCTCGCTACACTCGTTATGGAAAACAGTTTTGAAACCTTATTGATTAGTTAATGATATCAGAGTTCTGTTGCTACTATTTTTGTTCATTGTTTCTTCTTTACAGTCTCTCCTATAGTGTACGAAATCCTTGAAAGCTTATATATTTTTGTTCAATGCCTCATCTCTGGCATGCCCATATAGGAAATTACTGAAGTCTTGTGTATTTGCTGACTGGACCCTCTTTCTTAATGTTCAGGTGCGTGATGAGCTTAGAAAGGAGACATTGCAACTTGCAAGTGAGTTATACATTCTGTTTATTTAAATAGTGGTGTTTGAATTGGTTTCAAAAAAATAATGGTGCTTCAAAAGTACCCTTTGATTTACAGAACTCAAAATAAGATATATGTAACATATATTCTTTATCTCTTTGGTGTTGTAAACTACAGGGGAAAGTTTAGAAAAGGAGGGGGCATTTACATATTTACCACTGTTACGGATGACATCTTACACTGTGTCACTGACATGGTATTTCTTATACCACTCATATCGTAATGATGGGGGGCCTTTACATATTTACCACTGTTACGGATGACATCTTACACTGTGTTACTGACACATGAGTCAGTGACACGGTATTTCTTATACCACTCACATCGTAATGATGGTAAATATGTAAATATTCCGAAAAGGAGCAGCGGATTTTGGAGCTTAGGAATCAGGTGCAGCACTGTCACCTATATGTCATGAAGAAAGATAGCAAACATTGTGGTCGTGCTATTCAAAGGATCATGCTTCATGCATAGTGTATAAAATTTGTTAACAACATGAAATGACAACCTTGTAATACTGTTACTGTGAAGCTTTCTAGTGATTTTGTTCTTATGTTTTCAGCGCTTTATTTCTTTGCTGACATTTTATTTGCATTTATAATCACGTGCAGTGCACAATAATTAGAACCACAGAAATGGATGGTGCTCAAGACCGGTTAGTTGATTTGGGGAGGCAAAAGGATCATATTATGAGGTCATGCTGTTGGCCTGTTTCAAGAGGTTAATTTGGAGATGGTGAAGACTTGCATCAAACTCGCACGTCGACAGTGTCGCGAGCATGTACAGTTCAGTACAAAGGTTGCCTCATCTTGAACACGCGAGAGGATTGCGAGGCGATCCACAAGCTGTCACTCGACCGTATCTGAACGTGTACACATTCCGGTCGAGGCCGTGCGTAGCTGTCTTCTGGTTATATGTAATATATGTTTTTTTAACGTAATGTTATATGTCCATCACAGTAAACCCAGTATAGAGGACTAGAGGCTCTATACAACGGAAACATTATATGTAAAATATGTCCATCACAGTAAACCCAGTCTAGAAGACTAGAGGCTCTATACAACGGAAACACATGGCCGGATGTAGAACACTGCCATGCAGCCCGTGTGATTTTCACGTGGACTGAGTGAAAACCGCTTGATTAGCAGCGGCACGGGCGCACGGCACGGCAGGCCACGTCTCGTTCCGTGCATCAACGGCCTGGCATAGGGTAGTCGTGTCATGCTGAGCATCGAACATCCTAACGAGCTATTTTGGGGATATATTAGGACTTGCCCATACAGTATCTGAAAATATCAAGAAGCCATTTTGGGGATAAAATCATCACGTAAAAAGCGTGCACGTGAAAACAGCAATACTTCAACAGCCGGTGGCGCAACGTCAGGTTCAGGCACATCAGCAGAAAACTAAGCACAAATATCGATCAAGAGCAAACAATATGCACGTTTCGATATGATCTGGCTTGGACTCACACGGGTCAATCTGCCAATACTCATGCATTTGGGTACCCACACAAGACACCAAATCATTTGTCACCAGAAGATGGTAAACATGGATTTGGTACAGCGATGTAACTGATATACAGGTCAAGAGAGGAAACTCCCTTGTGCAAGTCACAGGAAGAACAGAGGAGTCACTTCATATTCTTGGGCACTTTGATCTTTGCATTATTTCGAGCACTAAAAGAGATCAGTTGTCCCTAGTGCTGTTCTTGAGCCATTCCAAATACTTGGTGTTACCCCCAGTTATGGGTAGAGCAATAACTTCAGGAACACTGCATGGACGAGTAACACGTAAATCCCAGAACAAGATAGCATACCATATGTACTTCGTTCAACACACACAGCATCAGTAAGCTAAACGAAGCTTACTCATATTCATGGTTGGCTTTGACATGTGCAGTCAAGGCATCCAGAAGTGATTCCCTGGTCTTGATGATGAGCAATTCTTCAGCATCAGATTGCACCTGAAAGAGGGCAGCTTCTTGATCAGATATGCTTAGTTTGATAAGCAGGGAGGGATTTTCAAGAAGAATTTTAGAAAGTTTGGGATAACAAATAAGTACTACGAAAATAACAAACTTTATTTAGTCTGAATGGAAATCTTAGAGCATATCCAAGAGATTAGCCAAATCATTTTCTAAAGGTAAATTTGACTATTATTAAAAGAAAAATGTCTCCAACACTTTGTAAATGACTCTCCAAATTTAGTAGCTCTCCATCCCACCTCATTCGCTCTCTACTTTTGGATAGCCTACCTCACTAGCCATCCAGCCTCTTAGTTTTATAGAGCCTGTTGGAGTACTCTAGTATAAGTAGCTAAATCAGTAAATTTGGCTAATCTCTTAGAGATGCCCTACCACACCTTTCCCATCCACCAGTAAACGGTTCAATGCCTGAAAAAGGTATGGAGGACTTCAGTTTATTTCACCGCTTCAAAGATAAAGAAAGGACATTCTATTCCAACACGTGTATAAACAACAGAGAGTAAGGTATTCATAGTAACCACTCAAATGAACAGCAAGGAACAAATTATATGCAATTCTACTGACCACTCTTGTATGGCAGGAGGCCTCAAGCCCCCCCTTTCAAGAGGAATTTTAGAAAGTTTGGGATAACAAATAAGTACAAGTGAAGGTCTACAAATTTAGTCTGCAAGCAAATCTTAGCACTATACCTTTCCCTCCCACCAGTAAACGGATTCAATGCCTGAAAAAGATATAGGGGACTTCAGTTTATTTCACCACTTCAAAGGAAAGAGCACATTCTATTCCAAAATTTGTATAAACAACACAGAGTAAGATATTCGTAATAACCACTCAAATGAACAGCAAGGAACAAACTATATCAATTCTACTGATCATTCTTGTTTGGGCAGGAGGCCTCGTAATTTTAAAAAAAAAAAATTACACTGTTCATTTCAGTTTATGGCTGTCTTGATTCTTGGTTTCCTGAAGCTAGATATGCGTAGTTATATTTAACGTGTAAGTAACTAATCGTTTCAGTAAGCTATGTGCATATGCCACAGTTTAGTTCTTACAGGCTATACTGACAATGCAGAGTTATCAAGCTCATCTCTTTTACAGTTGTACCGTAGCCTTACTTCACCTTGCACAACTTAAAAGAGAAACCTACCAACTAATTCAGAAATGGGAATATTTAGTGTCTACTGTTTAATATTCAGTAAAATTCAGATTTTTTTTGGGAGATCAAGAGCCCAACTAATTCAGGAACTATAGCATAAGTAGATCTAGATCTTCCCGGTGCTGCTACCATTATTTACACAGAATAAAATCTTCCATTTTAGGAAAATAAATTACCGAAAAATGAGCAATCACATTTTGTTGTGCACTGCGTTCATAATGTCAGAATTTTGTCAAAAAATAAGCAATGAGAAAACTGAAATCGAACCAGGTACTATATTGACACAAGCAGCAAGCTTCTCGCTAATGATGCTGTGTGACAGCTTCTTGCCTGCAATAGATGTGGGACAAGTTATTTAGGACAAGTAAAGCAAAAGCCAGAAATAAACCCAAAAAAATATGCAACAATAACACAACAAAAAGGCAAAAACTTAGAAGAACAACACTAATCAAGTGGACAAATATTGCATGCCCACAAGATAAAAGGTACTCCCTCCATTCTAAACTGTAAGTCATTCTGACTTTTCTAGGTATATAACTTCTGTTATACACTTAGATATACATTATGTCAAGATACGTAGTAAAAGTTATGTGTCTAGAAAAGTCAAAACAACTTACAATTTGGAACGGTGGGAGTACTAAACTGCCTGCTTTCTCATTGGAGAGAATTGCACAGATTGACTTGCAAGGACTCAAAGTGGTAAAGAAGCATTAACAGCACAGAAAATTAGGCACTGGTTACCTGCTTCTCTGTTTGGAACTGTCACATACACGACAATGGAGGGCACTGTGGTGGAAGCAGACTCCATTCGAGTAGAACTGAGACCTCTTGCCCTGCAAAATTTTACATCATTGAAGTTTCTCAACCTTGGAGTCACTACATGTGCTTGTAGATACTATGAAAGACATAAGACCCAGCATTTCTACCCTCCAAGGTTTTCATAGCATCATGCTACCACATGAACAACGGTTTCTCATAACATACACTCTCATTAGCAATTCACTAGTTCAATTGTCAATTGCAGCAATGGGCGTCGGAACTGAAAACAGGCATTGCGCCATCTAAATCATGCAATGGTACTACATATGATCTTACAAATCCTCACAAATAACAAATCGCACATAGTTACTCTAAAGCAATGTTTCCAAAATTACAACAAAGAATTTAACATTAATGCATCCATGAGTTCTGTGACCATGATTCATCTTCATCCGTCTCTAATTTGTCTCACTTTCATACATAGATCATGTTCTAAGCCACCTTTGGTGTGAAAACGCCAAGGTTCTAGGCAAGCTCAGCATAGCACCCGCTTTTGGAATCAGAGAGTACTGGGGTACAGGTCTGTGATTCCACAAAATCAACCCACTCAGTAAACTGCGGCAGCACCAAACTTCGCGAACCGATGGCCCATGGGAATGCGAGTGCCTTCCTCGCATCAGCCAAAGATGTTCAAGAGAGACAGAGGGACGGGGAAGTTACCCGAGGAAGGGGAGGCGTCGGTGGGAGATGACGCACCCCGTCCTGCAGGCGACCGCAGCGCTGACAGCGCCGATGCTGAAGAACAGGAGCGCTCCCGCGAGCGGCGAGCGGCGCCCGTAAAGCAACGCGCGCTGCGCTCCGGCGGGGCTGGCGGCAGCGGAGGAGGGTGGCGAGAAGACCCGGAACGGCGCACGGAGTGGCATCTCCGGCAGCTTCGGTAGCCGCTTATGTACGCCTTGCCGTCGGGAAAGCGCATCCCTTCCTTGCCTTGGTGGCTCACGAACCCGATTCCTCTCTTGTCCTCTGGTGGGCTTGAATGGGCCCGCTATTGGGTTTTCGGCAGGCCATTCGGCCCAACGCCGCAACTCGCGTCATCTTAACCCGTCTCCTCGGATGGGACTCCCGAGCCCCAAACCCTACTCGAAAACCAGAGCAGCCTCCACTGCCAGCGCCGACAGTTGGAGCTCCGCTTCGACCTTCCGCGCTTCTCCGGTCATGGCTGAACCCGAGGTGGAGGCGGCCGCAGCCACAGCGATGGAAACCGAGGCGCCTGCAGCAGCCGGTCAGAAGAGGGAGCGGGAGGAAGGAAGTGATCCTGCTGGTGATGGCGGCGAGGCGGCGACGGAGGAAGCGGCGGCGGCTAAGAAGCCGAAGGTAGAGGAGGAGGCCAAGGAAGCAGAGGAAGCGGGGGAGGGGAAGGCAGAGGAGACGGAGGAGGGGAAGGCAGAGGAGGCGGAGGAGGGGAAGACAGAGGAGGCGAATGAGGAGAAGGCAGTGGAGGCGGATGGCAAACCTGTGAAGCTGGGGCCGAAAGAGTTCGCCTCGGCCGTCGAGATGTTCGACTACTTCTTCGCTCTGCTCCACTCCTGGACGCCGCAGCTTGAGTTCAATAAGGTGAGGGCGTTTGATTATCTTGGTTGCGAAGAAGATTGTTCCTTTAGCTTTGATCTGATATACGTGGTGGAGTCTAGTTCGGTCTGATGAATTGCTTGCATGCTGTGGGCTGTGGCAGTAACAAGCTGGTAGTACTAGGTAAATTTCATAAGCTTCAGTGAGTTCGGGGAGTGCATTTACTTGTACTCCTAGACAAAGGTTGCTCTCAAACATCAGTTCACTGGAGGCATCATATTTATTTGAATTGACAAATCCATTCTTTAAGGCTGTGAGTTCGCAATTACTTGATTAGTTTGTTCTGAAGGGTTCTAAGTTGGATCCTGCATTGTGTCCTGTGCCTTCCAGCTCCACTGTCTTCATCAGTCATAGCTATGGAAATGAATGCACTAGAAAAGATCTTACTTTTAGTGGTTTGCTTATTTGTGCCATGATGTGGTTTGGTTTTCAAGTTCTGTTATTGCTAGGGAAGTCTTATAATTTTCATTCTGTTTGCTTGGATGGTTCATTTTTTCTTAGCTTTGTTTGAGTTTCCTGTGATTATTATGTTTTGTTAGATCAAGTTTTGGATTAAACTTCTTGCCAAATGAGGACCTATATGCTTATTTGGCTTGATTCGTTAGAGTTTCATGTGAGTCTCCATGTTATGTTTGATCAGCTCTGATAATTATAATGTTTTTGGGTGCATGTATTAATTTTCCTTTTCCATGGTGTTCAGATCTATGTATATGTAATATGTTTAATCTTCATTCATGTTTAACATCGCTATCACAGTTGCAAGCAGCGCAGCTTTGAGATCTTAATCATCATTTGCTATTTGATTCGCTTATAACATGCTTAGTGGGGCTTGCAGTTTCAGTCTGGAGTTCCAAGTGCTTTTCTGGTGTTTGAGTAAGAAAACTCTGCTGTTGATAGCTTTGAGCTATCCACGAAATCATGAATCACTGTCCTAGCATTGTTGTTTACTTATTCCTTCCAACTTTGGAACATATGTGATACTAGAAGGATGGTTTGTTCCCTTTTTCTTGGTTATGCATTGTTAACCTTAACAAGATCTCCAGTCGATGATCTTAGACAATTGAGATACTTTGGATCTCATTACTTCCGTGTTATATATATCGTAGATGGAAAGAGTTATACTAATTTTTCTGGTATAGTGCTGGTGATCTTTTTTTTAAACTTAATTTTTCATGTTTGTTTTAAGTCTGTATTCTTTATAACTAGTGTTTTGAGTTGTGATTTTCACCTCTTTTACTATATTTGTGGTGCTTAAAGCAAAAATTAAGTAAACCACGGCTGTGGTAGCACTTGAAAGTCAAGTAGATGACTTTTTAACATGACTGCAGTCTAGTTTCCTGAAGCCAGCAACATTATAAGTTGGATGATGGAAACATCTGGTAGTTGGCTGTTGTGCTGTTGAAAATGATTGCTATCTATGTAGTGCCCACTAGATAACTGACCCTATATGCGCCACAAAGGTCGCGTCATTGATCTCCATAGGTCAAACCCCGGTGTACCTCCATAGACAAGCCCATAGCCATCATTAATATCTGCTCATGGCACATGGGTTTCTTATTTTCATCTCAACTTTTGCAGTATGAACAAATGGTGTTGGAAGATTTGCTGAAGAAAGGCCATGCTGAACCTGCTAAGAAGATTGGGGCAGGAGTCGAAGCATTTGAGATACGCAACCACCCGGTGTGGCAAAGCCGCTGCTTCTTTGTCCGCAGGATTGATGGATCCGCAGATGACTTCAGCTTCCGCAAATGCGTCGACAACATACTGCCTCTCCCTGAGGACATGAAGATCGGCAATGGCAAGAAGTCTGGTGGCCACCACAAGGGTGGCGGCGGTGGGGGGCGGGGAGGAGGAGGAGGACGCGGGGGAGGTGGCCGTGGCGGCTGGCGCGGTGGGCGCGGCCGGGGCAGGAGGGGAGGGTAGGATCTTAACAGGCCCTGCAATTTTGCCCGGTTAATAATACTGGGGTGGTCGTGGAAACGAAGGCATTTATTATGTGACTGTCCTAAAGACCGATGCCGACTTGTGTACCTTGCAACTGGGATATGATCCACGCCCGAGTGCTTGCCGCGTGCTGTTGTTAATTTGTGCCATTCCACCCGCCCTTATTTTCTTCTTGATTTGGTGTGATCTTGTTTCCCACCGGCCGGCGTGGTGCCGGATCTGAAGGTGAACGTGGTGGCCTCCGACAGCGGAGTCGATCGTGGAGACCACCGTGTTAAGAAGGAATTATATTGAGTATAAAACAGCGCGTGTTTTAACTGTGCTGGGACAAAACACGGTTGTCGATTGTCTTGGTGCGAACGAGCAGTGAACAAAACACTGCAGGCTGGCTGTGTGCCTGTGTTGGCTTGGCTAACGCTTCTTTCTTTGTTTTTCTTTTTTTTTAAATAAAAGAGCACTGTGTGGCCTAACGCCAAGGAGCACTCGAACACGCGTGGGATGTGATGACTGATGGTGATTCCAGCCGAACTCCGCCTTGAGGAACCACCGAACCAACATGCTCCTCAGGTTCTCTGCGAGGTGAGCAGCACATGAACAGTCGGTCTAGAACAAATTGGTCGCCCGCTGTACTTGCTAGTCCCAGGAACGAAGGAAAGGAACATCCGACACGAAATCGGTTGTTCTCGCGATCTTGGCACATGCCCATGTAGTCCTGTACTGTACGGGAAGCAAGTACGCGTACATGAACGCGATCCTGATCTGCTGGGTACAGGTCTCGCCGCTTGTACAACGGGGCCGGTCGCCGTCGGCTGGAAACCAAGCTCAGCTGTTCATGTTCCCATCCGGTGATCCCACTTGCACAGGCATCTTCAGCGCTTGGCATCCGTACTTGGGACCAAAAGGCCACCTTCTCTGGAAAGTGGGAGCGAAAGGCAGGCAGATGCTTTTGCCACTTGCGGCGATCCATTATCCGGTTACGTTATCGGCCTGCAGCACCTGCTTGTTGCGTGCTTGCTCGTCATCAGCCACCACGCGCTAGGCTTCTACGCTTGCGATTGGGACTGGCATTTGCCATTAACAGCCTCCTGAAAGCACCCTCAATGCATCGTTGATTTTTCAAGGTACCAGACTAGCGGTCAGATACATATACATACGTCTCGTTGGGTCGGTGCCTGTTTCTTCTTCTGAACTGAAAAAAAAAAACTGGAGCCGCGATCGAAACGTACGTGCGTGGCCGTAGCCGTAGCACCAGCACACTGCACACCGCCGGCGGGACCTTTCGACGGTTCGGGACTATCAGGAGTTCAGGACTTCAGGACTTCAGGAGGTATCAGCACACGCCTCGCAAGTCAGCGCAAGCAAGCATTCCCGCTTTCGGAAGGGGTCCACGTCCACCAGTAGGATCCGAGCTTTTTCAGGGAGCCAAAGGACCCATGTCGTGACGTCGCAAGCCGGAACGGCGATGTGCGGGCTGGCTAAGGACGCAACGCAACGCAACGGGATGGTGGCCTGGGGAACGGATAAGTTTCACCGACTTGTTTGGCCTTTCTCCGTCGAGATTGCTATCACCGTCGTCGAGCCCGGTCCGGGTGGCTGGGTGACAAGTCGCGGTCCGTAGCTGCGGTCTCGGACGCGTGACAATGTACAACAAGCAAGGCTGCTCACTTCGCAAATCGCTGTGGTTTTCCCAAGGTGCAGTAGTAGTTGGCTAGTTGCACGGAGATACGAAGTTGCTTTCCTCCTCTTTTTGCAAGTGCTGATTATTTTCTCCTTTTTTTCATATTTGATTTGATGACGGGTCATAACAACTCGCGTGTTGTGGCCCCACGTGATATGTTCCCTGTGTTTATATACTGACAAGTTTGCTAGCTTGACGAGGACTTGATAACATACTCACAGTAAGATATCCACTAGCCAGTGCCATATGGTCAGTTGTTCAACACAATACAATGCGCAATGCCCGTGCCAAATTTTAAAAAGAAACAAATGTACGCGTAGCATTTATATAACACCACCTTCCCTTCATTTCAGATTATAAATCGTTTTGATCTTTCTAAGTTATATATAAATTTTTTATTTATTATAGATATATAGAAAAAAAAACTATCGATTAAAAAACAAAATAACTTAAAAATGAGAGTCACTCGCGTCGCGTCGTCTCTAATACTTCAACAATGTAATCTTTTATAAGCTCGTCTTGTTTCGGTTGCCGTAGTTCTTGCACCTGCCTAGGGCTTCCTACCTCTACCTGGTCCCCCACTTTGCCAATCCGTGTAGGACGCGGGTTGCTCTAGTGTTGTACGTAAACTTTTTTTTTCTAATGAAGATGTGTGGGTTGGGATGTAGCATAAAACAAGGCTACATAAATATGCATAGAAAAGAGATGTCTCATGATTTTACATACAAAACCTTTTTTTATAACAGCATACAAAACCTTTGAGAGAGAATATTCACGCCTCGAACTAGATTTCTTAAGCACGTGTGTGTAGTTTTCCGCTTCATATGAACTCAATTGAAGTCACCTGTATTGGCAAACGCATGTTGTTTGCAACATATTTTGTTTTTATTTTATTTTATGTTTTTCTCATGTGAAGCGAACTTTTGTTACACGACTTGGATATGTTCACAATAAAACACATGCACTATTTGTTTAGTGTATTTAAATACCGTGTAAACACTATATAGCGGTACATTGTTTTCATTTAATCAGCTATATTTATCTAGTCCAATTGGTCGTTCAATCTGTTTAAACCCTTTTAGTTTGAATAATAGATAAACAGAAAATGATCATATGTTTACAGTTTAGCGTTTAAGAAAACATAGTTCATAACGTCCCATTTAGACCTATCTACCGTGTCTTTTTTTCAGATTGAAATAAAACTCTTATATGTACATGTATGCTTAGTATTTGTATCCTGGTCAGAAACAGGGTGCAGAAGTTGAGAAGGAAGGAGGGAAAAAAAATAGTCTGGCAGGAAATACAGAAGAGAAACCAACCAAAAAAGAAAAAAAAAAGGGGGAATTTCATACGATTTCTGCGCCCTCTTCTTCGGCGTTTTCGCTACTCTACCCCAGCGAGCCCCGGTACGACCAACCCTCCCGCCGGCGCCGCCGCTCGCCGCGGGCCATGTACAAGCTCGGCGGCCGTGGCGGTGGGCGCGGCGGCAGCGGCGCGGCAAAGCGCCCGCCGCCCCCCCACGGCCGCGGCCGGGGCGGCGCCTCCTCTATCGGTGGGATGTCCGGGCCTCCCCGCGGTCGCGCCGCCGCCGCCGCCGCGACGCAGCCGGCGGGGCGCGACGAGGCGTTCCGCCTCGAGTCCAGCGGGCCGCCCGCCTTCGCGGCTATAATACGGCTGACGCCCGACCTCGTCGACGAGATCCGGCGGGCGGAGGAGGCCGGTGGAGGCGCACGCATCAAGTTCAACCCTAACATGTACAACTCGTCGGAAAACGTGAGCTTTCCCTTACCCTCTGGCTTTCAGCTCTGTGTGTCCCTTTTGAGTTCCTCTTAAGTTTTAACCTAACAAATTTAGATATTTTTTTAGTTTTTATCAATATACAGTATATCATGGTAAGTTGTTTTCCTTCTTTTGGCACTTTTACTGGGTTTGAGCGAGTTCTGTAATTTGCATTCACGCCAATCAAATAAAGCATGGTACTGGCGAGATATAGTTTGGATTGTCAGGGCACGATGATCTGTTAGGTGTCCTTCTAGTAATGATTATCTTCATCTCGTGTGATGGTCTTGAGGAATTTTGATTCGTACAGCAAGCTTGCATTGCTCCTGTCTCAGTGTATATGATTTAGATGGGTCAAACGGCATTTGGTTTAGTAATTTGCAATTCAAGCCTTTATATCATTGCTGTGTCTTATGCTCCCATTTCAAGGCACACCGTTGCTTACTTTGCACTTACTTTGATTTGTCGGAGCAAAGTTGAATGTTTATTACGTTCTCCTTGGACGTTTGTATTGTTTGGTTGGGACTTTGCTTAGCGATTTTCCTCAGGAATCTTGCGTTTTCCCATGTGTTATGGTCCTAGACTTCTGGCTATTCTTATTTATTTTAGGCAGATTGGAACAAGGACATTTATCATTTGATGATTCTTTCAGTTCAGCTAAATTTCTTGTTCCATATTAACATATTGCTTATTTGATGATTCTTTCGGTTCAGTTCATTTTCTTGTTCCGTGTCCACATTTTCATTGTTTATCGTTGTACAATTAGTTCTTACATGGTATTTGATTTGGTGTTGTTACTTTTGGATGACTTTGGACTTCTAATCTGGTATAAGAACTGCTGAAAATCTTCCCTTAATGGTGATCCAGACCTAATCTAGCACAATAATGTCATATTTCAATTAGCTTTGTACTGTGGATCAGGAGTTGAAATCTCAGCTCTGAAGTATAAGCAGACCCATCTGGCCTGCATAGATTGGATGGGCCCCCCTCTCTCCTAGCAGATTTTTTCTTGTGTTTTATGAGTTGCCTATTTTCTATATATATATGGAATCACCAACAAGTATGACCAGTACTGCTGAAACAACAAAGAATACGCCTATTCATTTTGTCTTGAACGTCCAGCCCACACTGAAATTTTGGAGGCTGAGTGAAGGATGCTTTAAAGAATTTCAAGGTTACAGTGCTTAGTTAAATTGCCCTACTGGGTCCAAACTAGATTTGTTTGACATGAGAACTTTTTTCAACATGATGATTGCGCTTGTACATTTAGTGTTTCAATTGGAGTACTCAAATCTCTTTTCCTGCGCCAGGTTATAGATGTTAGTGGTAAAGAATTCAAATTCACCTGGGCATCTGAACGTGACGAATTGTGTGATATTTATGAAGAACGTCAGAGTGGAGAGGATGGAAATGGGTTGCTTCTGGAGTGTGGCTCTGCTTGGCGCAAGGTGAATGTGCAACGCATTTTGGATGAATCAACAAAGAACCTTGTGAAAATGCGCTCAGAGGAGGCTGAACGTCT